CCCGGCTCCCGTCCATCTCCCAACAGTGCACGTTGCTCGTCCCTCTGAGACAGAACCCCAATTAGCTTGGGGGCTCTCAAAACAGACAGCTAAGTGAGCTAAGCAGGGAGCCCTCTCAGCCTCGGGCACACCTTCTAAGACAAAGGAGATGGTGAGGGGACATCAAAGAGCTACTGTGAGATGTGTTCCCAGTCCAGGGCCCTCAGCAAGGCTGCACACAGAGCTACTCAGTGCTGGTGCATGCTGGGCTGGGCGCTGCACACAGGTGTGGAAAGGTGTGAGTCCAGAGTCCCTCTGCCCTCACCCTCATGCCCAAGAAGGCAGCTGGAGCCGAACAGGGCAGCCAGCCCAACCCTTCATGGAACACTAAAACCAACTGGAAACCATTTGAAGGTTCCCACATCCAGCCCGATCCCCAGAGATTCTGATGGAAGGGATTTGGTGCTGGGGCCTGGGTGACAGCATGTTTTAACTTCCCCAGCTGATTCTAACATGCGGTCGCAGTGAAAACCACTAGTTGGGAGGCGACATAAATGTATAGCTCCTCTAAAACGTATGGGGATGATGCCAGGGGTATACACTGGGAGGACTAGAAAGAACAAAGGAATAGAAAGAACAAAGAAACAGAAAGATGGGCAACGCTGGCGCTACCATTTTATAGGGATTCCAGCAAGCTTAACATCAAGCACGGGCTGCCTCTGGCATTTGGACCAGCTTGGGTGCCCTGGCTATAATTCCCGTTTAAAAGTTTTTCACAGGTTTTATAAACTACTTACAACCAGCCTTCATCTTGTGCCAAAATAACAAGGCTGTGTTTGTTTCACTTAAAGACTTTCAGGTCCAACTGGTAGAGGTAAGGGCGAAGCCTGCCAAGACGCAGGGAGGCTGTCACCTGGGGCTGCTGCAGGTGGCATCCAGCGTCCAGGGGCCTGCATGTCAGCCAGCTCCAAGTCCCCGACACAGGATGGAGCAGGTGAGAAGGACCAGGACCTAAATCGAGACTTTCCCACAGGGGCATGGCAGGTGGTCAAAAACTGACAAAACTCCCTAAATGAAGAAGGGGTGGAAATAACAGATTCTAAAGAATCAGCAACCATACAAATATCTTGATTTACATATAAAAAAAAAAAAGAATCAGCAACCAGCCAATGAGCATCCATTGTTTTTTAAACAAATATTTCCACTGGCTGTCTCCTGAGTGCCAAGTGTTAAGCGAAGCCCAGAGCAGGGGCGGGGGAAGCAAGGTGACTCAACGCATGAACTAGATCAGCAGTCCCCAACCTTTTGGGCACCAGGGACCAGTTTCACGGAAGATAATTTTTCTATTGCCCAGAGCGGGGTGGGGGGTCAGGCGGGGGCTCAGGCAGGGATGGAGTGATGAGGAGCGGCTGTACATGCAGATGAAGCTTCCTTGCCCTGCCCCCCCTCCCGCCCGCCCCCTGCCACTCACCTCCTCCTGTGCGGTGGCCCAGGTTCAGTTCCTAAGTTTCATGAAAGACAATTTTTCTACAGATGGAAGGTGGAGGTGGAGCTCAGGCAGTGAGGCGCAGCCCGGTTCCTAACAGGCCATGGAAAGGTACCAGGCCAGGCCCCGGGGATTGGGCATGACAGGAGTAGATCACTAATAAGGAGTAATTTAAGTAGGGCTGGAGCTGGCAGTGCAGGTGGGACGCCAGTGTCACAGCAGCCAGGCATCAGAGAGACAGCCTCAACCACCAGCTGGGCTTCAGGGGCTGAGCCTTGATCCCGGGGAGGAGAAATGGTCAGAGCACGGCAGGCCCGTTCCCCATAACGACTGGTGTGCTGTCATCTACTTCCCTCCTCCTGCCTCAGGGCCCCAGGATTTTTTTGACAAATAAAATACAGCAGAAGTGACCCTGCCATGGTTATAAAAACGTGCCCACCAAATTCTTTGCTACCCCTTCCTGGGGGTGGAACCTACTTCCCTGCCCCGGGAGTGTGGGCTGGAAAGAGTAACTTGCTTCTAGTCACTAAAGTAGAAGAGATGGTGTGTGACCTCGAAGACTAAATCCGAACAAGATGTTGTGGCTTCTATCTTGTCTGCTCGCTCTTTCAGGTCACTCGCTCTGGGGGAACCAGCTGCCATGCTGTGAGTGGTCCTCTGGCACAGCTCTTGTGGCAAGAAACTGAAGCCTTCTGCTAACACCCGCACAAACGAGCTGGGAAACAGCTCTTCCAGCCCCGGCCAAGCCTTGAACTGCGGCCCCACAGCATGCCATGAGAGCAACTTCGTGAAAACCCCGAGCCAGAACCCTCCAGCTAAACCACTCTGGATTCCTGACTCTCCAAGACTATGAGAGATAATTAAAGATTTGTTATTTCAAGCTGTGAACTTTTGGGGTCATTTATCATCTATTACACGTTAACAGAGATGCATGCCAGTTTCTGAGACCAGGCCTTAAGAAATAAGAAATTTCCATTTCTTCTGCAGTCTCTTGGGGTCCTTGCTCTTGGAACCTGGCAGCCATGTTGTAAGGAAGCCAAGCTGCCTTTAGAGCGGCCCACACAGAGAGCAACCCATAGCCAGACCATATGTGTGCACCGTCTTGGAAGTGGGTCCTCTAGTCCTCGCTGTCTCTGCCAAGCCCTGCCCAAATTGTAGATTCATGGGCAAAATAAATGATTGGTGATATTTTAAGTCACTAAGTCTTGGGCTGGCTTATTATGCAGCAATAGAGAATATAAAAACAGATTTTGGTATCTGGATATGGGGTGCTGTAGATAACAAAACCCTAAAATCGGAGGCATTGGCTTTAGGACTAGGTAGTAGGCAGAGGCCAAAAAGAAAGTAACAAAAATAGTATTGGAAGCTGGAGAAAAAAGGAACCTTGCAGTGGCAAAACATCACTCTGTTATCAAGTGAGGTAATACAGAAAAGGTGTCCCTAATAATTTTAATTAGATATCCAAAGAGATTTCCAGGCAGGATATACAAGTGCCTACTGGCTTCTTGTCAATGCCCATGACACGATGCAAGAGAAGAGATATGAATTAAAGAATAAACTGTTAAATATAAAGGAGCTATAGAACTTGCTAGGTTTAAAAATAAAGCTATCTTTCATTCCCAGTCTCTGCAGATGGTCAATAATTCTCAAATTAAGAAAGGGCTCAGGCCATAGACCAAATCCAGGATAGGTCTATAAATCTAAGACAGTGAGTCACAGAAACTTCAAGACATACAAAAGACCTGCTAAGCATCTTAAGGGCATCCCTTCAGATCCTCTCCATTCAATAGGGCTTCTAAGAATCTCCAGGCCATTGTCCCTCAGTATTGGGAGCCCAAATAGAGAAAGGGCTTCTCTTGGAGAGGCTGTTCATTGTGGGTTTTATCTAACAGAATGAGGGCTTGCCATTCTAAAGCTACTAAAATAGGAGAAAACAGAAATAGCCTCACACGCAGAAGTTACAAAAGCATGATGGCCATCCTGCCACCAGTATTGCACACAGGGACAGCCTATTGACGGACAGTCCCATTCACCCAAAGAGTAATTTGGAAATAGCGAGGGGAAGAGACTAGTTCCCATCACGACCTCAGGTCATCCTTCAGTAGATAGGGCCTCACCAATTTGCTCAGCTGGCCAAAGAGTTAAAACAGAACACCCGGGCTCCACATGCAATATACCCTCTTTAGAACTTTCCCTTGGAGTCTAAGAAGATTATCCACATTGGAGCGAGGATATCTCTGCTGCCTGAATTATACACCTCCTCCCTTGGGCTTAATAGAGACTCAGCCACCTGTATTCCTGGGGAAGATATATTGATTAAGAAAGGCAAAAACCCTAACTCAGAAGCAAGAGTGTGCTCAATCTTCTTTTTTTTCTCTTAGCAAATGGGGACATAACTCCAAGTAAATGGCACGTGAAGCTGTTAAGAGCCAAACCTCACATTCGCACTGCGATGTTCTAGGGTTGTAAATAACACGCGTGACTGCACCAGGCCCAAATTGCTCGTTAGCTGCCAACATTAGTTGTTTAATGATTTGAGGAGCAGAAGCTGCCAATTACTGTATTCCTTCTTAAAATGCCGTTTAAAACCCACACATGTAATCATTATACCTTTTTGTTAAATTTTTATGATTCTTCCGAAGCTGATGAGCTGGGGGTTCACCCAACCTATAAAACTCAGAGAACTCTTTCAGGCCATCATTGCACAACTGGGATAAAAATTCATATATCCCGCACTGAGCAGGTCTGGCCTCTAGCCCCTGATCTGATCCTGCTTGGCTAATTGAGCGAATTCAACCAAAGTACACAGCCCACAGCCTCAGTTTCCTCTTCTATTCATTGGGATAACAGTCTCTTTCCTACCTACTATTGTGGAAACACTCTCTCTCACACCCAGCTGTTGTGAAAATGAAATAAAATAACAAATACAGAGGAATGTTGGAAAGCAATATTCAAATGATAGGGTAAGATACTGTTTTTAGAGACTTTTTGTCAAGCTACTAATTAATGGAAAAAGATGTCCCTTCATAACTGCAAGAGTAGGGAGGGACTACGATCTCTTGAGAATTCCCCAAGTCTATGATTGGATGTTTAAACTGAGTGCCTCAATTTATGTCATGTTATCATCCACTCCCTGTAGGAAGAGATGGATCCAATAGTCCTCACTGAGCAAGTACGGGTTCCCAGTGCTGTATACACATCTGCTAGAATCATGTGACACACAGAGCACATGTAGTCTCTAAACTCTTCAAGAAACAGGAACCAGAAGTCCAAAATTTGACGCCTACATAAACAACTTGTGCTATCTTATGTGTAAACAGTGCACATGTATGTTTAAGAGTCTCATCCACCCCTTTATAAGGAAATCATGCTGCCCACGTATTTCTTGGGTTTTAGCGAAACTCCCAGAAAAGCTCTGAGATATTCGAGGATGACATAACAGCAACGGTGGAGCATTAATCGGGGACAGAACTTGATGCGGTGGTTGTCATCACTGCAGTCTGACTACTTCAGCTCCGCCTCCCTCACCAGTTACCTGATATGGCGAGCGTTTTGGCCTCAAGCAATGCCGGGAGTTGGGTTTCAATGTCGTTAACTTCCTTCCTCAGAGTGCTGCAGAGTCTCTCACCCATGCACACCTAGACGGAGGGAAACAACCAGGTGTCATCATTTACTCAGAGAAAAACCAGAAAGCAATGGGGCAGCCAGGCCAGAGGCTTCTGGGTTTATAAGCAATTAAGAGGGATAATAAATGGTAATCAGAGGACAGTAATTAAAAAGCAAGTAATGGAAAAAGAAAGAAAGAAAGATAAGAAGGCAGGCAGGCATTGGCATATTCCAAGCATAGCTCCTGTGCCCTTTCGCCACACTCAAACACAAAGCTAATGAGCCAGCACAACAGAGGGCAACCACAAACTAAAACAACTTCATCGCTTCTGCCTTGTCCCTTCTCAGGGCCTTTGCTCTCTACTCATTCTGTGCGAAACGCTCTTGCGCCAGGTGGTTTAGTGCACTCATATTCTCAGGGCTCTCTGCTTAATCACTGCCTGGGACAAAAGGCCTTACTGATCACCTACCCAAAATAGCAACCTCCCAGTCCTCCTGCTTCAGATGTTTTCCCAGGGCATCCTTCCCAGCTGACATGCCTGCGTGACATTCCTTTGTGTTTACAGTGACTCTCTGCTAGGACACAAGCTCTCCATGAGCAGGGACCTGGTTCTGTACCAGGCACACGGTGGGCAGCAATGAAGATACGGCCATCTAGATGAAGGTCAGGCTAAATTTAGTTACTAGGAGACACTGTCTAGGAAACTTTGAGGACAGATAGATACTTGCTGGCGAGTTAGATATGAAAAATAGGCAAGTAACTCTTAGTGAGGTTTAAGGGTTTTTATCATTTATTTTCCCATGACACTCCCAACATTTGCTACATTTTTCTTTGATCTTTCAAAAACAGCAAAAATCTTAAATCTCAATTTCTTTTTCCAAATGCCTCCAGGTTATCTTTTATTTTGTTGGAGGCTAAAACATCACATTTTTTTCCTCTCATTTAAGGCTAAAATCTTATATTCAAATGTTGTCTATACTCAGATTATTGAGCTACCTTGGAAAAATTTCCAGCTCAACAAAAGCACAGAGCATGGATTTAATAAGAATGAATACATCTGTGGAGATATTTGGGACTTGTCCACAAAAGATGTTACCTAAAAGCACCACTCTTTTCTTTCCCAAACTCTGAGACTCCATTCAAAACTAAAAGTAAGGCCGGGCGCTGTGGCTCACGCCTGTAATCCTAGCTCTTGGGAGGCCGAGGCGGGCGGATTGCTCAAGGTCAGGAGTTCAAAACCAGCCTGAGCAAGAGCGAGACCCCGTCTCTACTATAAATAGAAAGAAATTAATTGGCCAACTGATATATATATAAAAAAAATTAGCCGGGCATGGTGGCGCATGCCTGTAGTCCCAGCTACTTGGGAGGCTGAGGCAGAAGGATCACTCGAGCCCAGGAGTTTGAGGTTGCTGTGAGCTAGGCTGACGCCACGGCACTCACTCTAGCCTGGGCAACAAAGCGAGACTCTGTCTCAAAAAAAAAAAAAAAAAAAAAACTAAAAGTAACCCAGTTGGAGTCCCAGAGCCCAGAGAAAATATAAAATTTAGTTTCCCAGAAGAATCTAGGTCTTGCTGGAGATGATCAATTTGAAATGTCTTGCTTATCTCAGACTGAATTAAGATCATTTTTGGAGTCAAAGCAGACCTTGCCCCTCCTGCCTAAAATACTCCACTATATCTCTCAGGGACTTCCACATGTTCTTTTCCATTCAGAGGCTGTCATTTTCCAACCTCTCTTTATAAAGCTCATTTTCTGGATGAAGACAATAGTTTGGCAGCCTCTGAACTAAAGCCTGCACCAGTAGTCTTGGGCATCCACACATCCATGGTCATTAATTTCGAGACTCTCTCAATGGCCCTGAGCTCTGTCATGAAGTCACAACCTGAGTTAAAACAAAGATGTCCCAGACACCTTCCCTTAGCACCAAGCCTCTGGATGGCTGAATGCCCAGTGACTGACACATCCCATCCGATCCATTTAAGAATGTCACTGGAAGCCCAGGGACATTTCCATTAACTCTGTAACACCAGCCATAATTCTTATGTCTCATCCAATCTCTGTCCAATATTTCTGATTTTAGTTAACAGTACCTGTTAATCATAATTGGGTCAGTTTCTCCTTTGTTGAGCAAATCTATCCCTCAAGCTGTCACTATTAATATGAAACAACCTCTCTGAATCTTATTAAATTGCAATGTTCATTTTTTTAGGCTCTGCTGGATATAATCTAATATCTACCAATCTCCAGATATCCCAGTTATTTCCAACTATTTCTTCCACCTCATTTATCCCTTAATTACCTTTGGTTTGGGTAACCCACAAGAGTTGAAGGAACGTAATGAGTGCAATGAAGGTTCCATCTCCCTGTCTGAGGGAGAAATCCAAACAGTATCTGGTGTGTGTGTGGGTATGTGTATGTCTAGCACACTAGAGAAAGAAAACTGTGTCAGACTGAGACTGTTACCTCATTGTCACCTGTAAAGCTAGTCTAGAGTGGAGAAAAAAGGTGTTTTGTGTGATGGGCAGTTTTGTTTTAATTCTCTGTAGACTACTACAGACCAAACACATACATACACATACAAAGTCATGTATGTGCACGCGTACACGTCCACCTACACACATACACACATATATGCACCCCAGAAAATCTGCATCTCCTTTTTATTTACAAATGAAATTGGACCCTAAGGAACTCATTATCAAATGGAGCTGTTACATTTACATTTTTAAATCCAAGACACGAGCTCCTTAATTTTATGGAAAATCAAAATAATCATAAGTTTCTGGCGAATGCATCAGGGAAGGTAGGTGCCATGGTCTGAATGCTTATGCCCCCTGCCAACAAAGTTCACATGTTGAAATCCTCACTCCCAAGGTGATGGTAGTAAGGGGCGGAGCCTTTGGGGAGTGATTAGGTTATGAGGGTGGAGCCCCCATGTAGGGGATTAGTGCCCTTATAAATAGACCCCAGAAAGCTCTCTTGCACTCTTTCTCCCATGTGAGAATACTCAGCCATGCTGGCACCCTGATCTCAGACTTCTAGCCTCCAAAATTACGAGAAATAAATTGTTGTTGTTGTTTATAATCCACCCAGTCCATGATATTTTGTTATAGCAACCTGAGTGGAAAAAGACAGCACGTAAACTGTCTTTGTATTTAGCATTCAGGCAAATCCAAGATCTTCAACAGTGGTTGAAGCTTATCAACAAATCCCAATACTGTGCATGTGTATATTTGTGTCCACAACGTAAAATGTCATCAACACACACACATATAAGCACCATCTGTATTACATGATATGCACACCTGTATACTCACTGCAAGTATATAGACTCATTCGTATCACCTAGATGGTGTGTTCTGAAGATAACCAATGAACCCAGGCCCAAGAGCATCCTCTCGCCTTTTTATTCTACATAGAAATTAGGAAGCACCTAATAAAATCTAAATGGCCTATATTTACAACAGAATATGCACAGGAAGGAAACATCTACCACCTCTTCCTTGCAGAGAAGTTTTTGTCTCTCCCCACCGCCCTACTGGCTCCACCGAAGGCCTCAGTAGCAGATGTTGACAATACTAGTGGGCAGTGTCACTGTGACTTACGAGGCAGAAATTCAGGTCACTCTCTAACATTTCCTCTCCTGCTTCACATAAAAAACATGGTAAACTGAGTGAGAGTCTCCCGCACCCCTGCAGTTGGGCAGGGGGAAAGGTCTCAGCCTGTGTAGGATTCTAAGATGTGGATTCTGGGGAGGTGGGAGAGGAGATATAAAAGCCCAGCCCCTGTGTGGCCCCATCAACTGGGCCTTGTGCCTGGGCACTCAGGTCTTGGCACTGCTCTTAGTCTCATCCTGCTCACCGTCTTTAGGTGAACATTCATTCATAGGATGCTCTCAGGGACGGCAGAGCAGGTGTCAAGCCTTCCGGGGTCCCTGGTCCTGATGACTTGTTATGAACACCACTTGCTCCTAACAGGAAGCTCTCCTTGTTTGCAAGGTATAACTACCCACCAACCTGCTGCTGTGTCAGCAAAATCATTAGGTGTCATTTTCAGAAATGAATTTGATTTAAAAAAAAGAAAAACTGAGATAGGGCCTGAGAAACTGCAGACATTTTTGCCAACAACATACCCCCAACTCCAGCTCAGCAGCAGTGATGGCAAGACCCTTAGCACGTTTCCTGATCGAGGGCCCAGAACTTTCTCTCCCTGGGCATAGAGACAAGTACTTCCTTCCAGGTCAGCAGGTCTCCTCTGCTACTTTGCTTTCCGCTCAGCAACTGTCCGTTTTATATTGACCCGTCTTATAACCACCTCTGGTTCTCAGATTACTGCACATAATTAATGATTCATACCTAGTTCTCTGCCACGTAATTCACAGAGTAATTGATCCTGCTCCTCCATCTGCCAATGGCTCAGTCGGGTATAACCACTTAGGTAGGGAAAGGCTTTTGTTTGTAAACTGTGGACTAACTAGGACATTGACTATTTAATTTAATTGACCATGTGCTCTCAGGGAATAATGAAGAAATGTTCTGTCTCTACGCAAACCAAGGTCTTGATATGGCAATATAAAACAGCCTATATAGTAGGCAAAATGATTCTCAAGCCAAATGAAAAACTTTACAAGACAAGAAACAACCACCTACTATACTGTTTCCACTTGTGTAGAACCTGAATATTGCCCTCCTGGGAGGAAAAGTAATTAATTTCTCAAATTACTCCCATCCTGAAAGCCTTCTTAAGCAAAGGCATTCAGTATGCATAGCAACAGTCCTCCCATCCCCAAATTGACAGCTCCTTCTGAAGCAAGGGCCAAACCTGTCCATTTCTGCAGGGGAACGGGGGCACAAATCAAGACCTCCGCCACGATAGCAGCCCTCCCCCCTGGCTCATCGCTGGGCCTGCAAAATGGCTTGGCAAAGTCTACGTTTCTTCCAGAGTCTCTCAGGGGTGGGGAACCTTCAGCCTGCTGATTTCAAGATTGTTCTTTTTTAAGCACCAAAGGAGGCAAGAAAAGCTTCACCTTTCTCTGCTGCACCCCTTTTATTAAAAGGATTTGCTCTGTAAATTTTAGATTCATCAAAAGGCTGCACTTAAGGACCTAGAAAGCCACATGTGGCTTTAAGGCCACAGGTTCATGTGAAATTAAGTCAAAAGAAAACTTTATAGACTCCTTTGGAAAACGGAAGTATAAAAGTACTTACCTTAGTAGTGATTTCTTTAAGTGACAAGTTGAGGGATTTTATTCTTTCTTGGAGGCTGGAAGAGTTAAAAAGAGGAGGTTGGTATTGTTGGTAACAACAGTTCGATACGGCTACATTCAGGAACTCTGCAAACAGTGACCCTTCCGTTGGCTGGATGGCAGAAGGAGAGCAGGAAGAAAGATGAAGCCACATTGGTTCCATTAGACTGTGGAATTATATGCTGCAGGGAAGCTTGTCTTTCTTCCCTAATCATGCCTTACTTAGGCTAGTATTAGAATCTATCCCAGAGTGCACATCTACTGGTAATGGGAAGAACAACTCAGATGTGCTCCTGGCAGCAAAGGATTAAAATTTGCATTCCTATAACCACCTTTCTAGACGGATAGCCTAACACAGGGTGGGGTCTCACTAGCAGGGAATCGAATGGTAACTATTTGGACCTACTATGCACAAATGTGTACCTAGTGCCTTCTACATTTAGTATTGATACAGAGTATAGATGATATATATATATTTATACACGTGCACACACACACACATACATTATATATATAAAGTATGTCTGAAATAGCAGCCCCTTAGGCTTTTCCTACTTCTATTTTCTCCTTAGCACTTTTCACCTTGACATATTCATCTATTCATGTAGTGTCTCCTTTTCTCCCATTGGCATATAAGTTCCTGGTGGGCAGTGACTGGCTGTCGTGTTCACACCTGTATCCCCAATGCTTAAAACAATCCCTAGAGGCCGGGCGCGGTGGCTCACGCCTGTAATCCTAGCTCTCTGGGAGGCCGAGGCGGGCGGATTGCTCAAGGTCAGGAGTTCGAAACCAGCCTGAGCAAGAGCGAGACCCCATCTCTACTATAAATAGAAAGAAATTAATTGGCCAACTAATATATATAGAAAAAATTAGCCGGGCATGGTGGCACATGCCTGTAGTCCCAGCTACTCGGGAGGCTGAGGCAGCAGGATTGCTTGAGCCCAGGAGTTTGAGGTTGCTGTAAGCTAGGCTGACGCCATGGCACTCACTCTAGCCTAGGCAACAAAGTGAGACTCTGTCTCAAAAAAAAAAAAAAAAAACCAATCCCTAGAGCTTCTTAGTAGACACTCAGTCATTATCGGCAGAATGAATGAATCAATGCCACTGAGGCTCAGATCTTATTCTCAAGGTTGTTCCCTGGTAGAGAAGAAATCATGAAGGCAATCAACTATAATATAAAGCAAGAGGAAAAAAATTACTAGAAGGGGAATAGAAACCCAATGCTAGGAAAAAGCTGCCACATAAAAACTGTCACAAGGCAGAATATTGTCTGCCTTGAGCAATGGAGACAATAACTTGTGGAGCAATTTAGAAACGAGTGGATTGGTGGGGAAAGCTTACCAGAGAAGGTGAAAGGTGAACTGGGCCTCAAAGCAGAAAAAGGAGGGAGAATTGAATTCCAAGGAGAAAATGAATCTAACTGGCCCCAGTGGTTGGCACACATGAGTTGTGAAAGATAAATGGGGAGATGATCATTCCTCGTGGGGAGGGAGAGGGAAGGGTGAGGTAGGGGCCTATCTGTACCTGTAATGTTTGTTTATTTATTTAGAGAAAGAGAATCCAAGTAACTATGGGAAAAAAATGCTAATATTTGTTTAATCTCAGTGGTGGGCAAATGAGTATTGGTTATATTTTCCAATATGTTTGGAATATTTACAATCAAAATAATTTTTAAAGGAATATCGAGGACAAGCCCTAGTTAGTAGTATTAAACACCAAGCTAAGGAATTTTGCACTTTATCTCACAAACAATGGGAAATTGTTCAGTTTTTGAGAAGGAGAGCAATATGAAAGAAACGTCTTCGTTTTTGGAAAATTAGTTGTGCAACACTGTGAGAGATGATTTGGAAGAAGAGAGTCTGAACGTGACAAAACCAGGCAGTCCCTGTCAGCACTCAGCCAGTCTTCAGGTCCAGAGCTTTGCACAGAGTGAATGAAGGAGGCCAGGAAGGGAAAGGAGGGGCAGGTCCTTGATTATGTCACTGCTGAAACGCAGTGAGAACATCCCAGCTAGAGCTTTTCATTTCTTCATGCATTCATGAACTCATGCATGCTTCCAATGTCTGCTGGGCATCCAGTAGGTTAGGGCCCTAGAGCATAATGACATGGTCCCTACCCTCAACCACTTACTGCTGCTAGCAAGGCAAGAAAGTGTTATAGGTACTAGAAGTGGAGTGCTTATTAGATTAAACAGTGGTCTGCAAAAGGGGAAAGGTCGAGGTTTCTGGGGTACGTGCTGGGAGGAGAGAAGGGAGGGGTGCAGGGTGTCAGGAAAAGCTTCTGTAGCCGGGGTTGCAAAGTATCAGAACTAAGCTGTCAAAAATTTGCTGGTTTTTGTTGTTGTTCTTCAACTGTAAGAACTGTTTTTGGATATTATCACTTCCAACAATTTGTGATTTCTGAGTACAGGCAAACTTGTTTCAGTTGCAAATACCTGGGAACTGGTACAGGCCCGTGATGACTAATCATTCCCACTTTAGGCCTACTTTCAACAGAGGAGGGTCTTCCAGCTGAGCTGAGATCAACCCAAATGGAGGAAGTGAGAGTTGACAATGGGCAGGGCATGTGACACCAGATTTTTCTGAATTCAGGAGTCACCATCTGACAAAAACTAGTGTACTCAATGGGCACAGGGGAAAACAACATTTGGAATCCTTCCTGGAGAACTCTAGGCTCTGGCTGGCTGGAGATTGGAGATTTTGAGAGCAACATAAGTCTGAGTGTCACGCTGACATGGAGAGCAGAGCAGATTAAACCAACTGGGATGCTGGGAAGTACAGAAGGTGTCGCACATGGGCCCGGACTGGCTCTGCCTGTGATCCTAGCAGCAGCACCAGCTTTAGTCAGCCTGTTGCCCAGACTAAAATCCTTCCTTGAGCAGAAATTGCACTTTCCCTTGCTGGGCTCATGGGAGTCCATTCAACTAATAAATGGTTCACCACATTGAATCTATAAGAGCATTTAACAGTATCCTATAAATAGGTGTTCCCCGCCACACACAAAGACTAGTTCGTGCATTAACAATGAAGATAGATAGGTAGTAGGTCCTCTTACTGATACTGAAAATTTAGCTGACCAAAACGGCAGTGCCTTTAGCTAATGCCCAAAAATACCAAATGAAAAAAACAAGTCAAGCACCATCTTTCCAGGGGTTGATGCAGTTCATAGGTCTTGGCTCATATCTGGCCCTACACCAGAAAGAAAATTAGTCTCCTCTCAAATATCCATGTTAGAGGAAAGAGGCAGTGATGCAGATAATTGAATGCATTGTTTTATATTTGATTTGAGTTATATATAATTAATTTAATTTATGTCCTATTATTTTTGCAGTAGATTTACCTTCCTAATTATGTTTTGCTCAGGCTAATATTAACATTAGTTGTAGCCCTGGGGTATTCACAGATTAAAAGCAATTGTGTGGGGGCAGAAGAATACAAGTAATCTATATACTACATGAGTGGGTTTCAGGCTATTTTTAGCAGTAGAACTCTCCCGAACAAAAGTTTCCACAGAACCGTACTATCTACTACAGATAAGAGGGGATCTGCTTGGATCCAAGTGGGTGTCTGGCCTGGCATACAAATGATGTCATGTTAGTCCACCTCACACACAATGCTACTGCCATCACACTGTGGTCCCCAAACCATAATTCCAAGAGCAGGAATACAAATTGAAAACCAGCAAATTAGAACAGCTAAATGTTGATAGACAAGAGTTCAATGTACTTTAATGATTAAAACTAATCCCTATGTTTCTTTTACACTTGCACATTGTTCATAAGGAGTAAGAACTATCCTCTCAAATCAAATTACACCATACCTTGGAAACACGTTAAGTTGTCCACACAAAGTAGCAGGTATGTTTTAGGAAACAAATCAGACCTAACTTACTCAAGTGAGTATCTTCATTCGAAGCAACTGCCCCGTGAATAAGAGTCTGAGGTTTACTGAACACTTACTATGTACCAGGCATTCTTCCCGATTCTTTAGATAGATGAGCATTTTAAATTCTTATTATAAGTCTGTGAAATAGGAACTATAAATAGCCACATTTTCAGACAAGAAAACTTAGCCAAAGAGTCTAAGAGAGATTTAAGTAACTTTTCCAGGATTAAGCAGCTGGTAACTAGGGGAGTTTAAATGGTAACCCAGACAGTCAAGCTATCCGCTCTCTTAACCACTAAACCATACTGAACTAACTCCCCTAGAAGCTGTGTACTTATTTGAAATGCACTGTCATTCTTCAGACTGATCTTTGGAATTCTATTTTAGAATTGCGTTAAAATATGCAATACAGGCCGGGCGCGGTGGCTCACGCCTGTAATCCTAGCTCTCTGGGAGGCCGAGGCGGGCGGATTGCTCGAGTTCAGGAGTTCGAAACCAGCCTGAGCAAGAGCGAGACCCCGTCTCTACTATAAATGGAAAGAAATTAATTGGCCAACTAAAAATATATACAAAAAAAAAAAAAAATTAACCAGGCATGGTGGCGCATGCCTGTAGTCCCAGCTACTCAGGAGGCTGAGGCAGGAGGATCACTTGAGGCCAGGAGTTTGAGGTTGCTGTGACCTAGGCTGACGCCATGGCACTCACTCTAGCGAGACTCTGTCTCAAAAAAAAAATATATATATATATATATATATATATCAATGTCATTATTTGTAAATACACATTATGCTTGCTTTACTCACGAACTGGTGTTCAAATCCTATGTCCAAAGTTCACCCTCAACTAATGAAACCTTAGAAAAGTTGAGGCTAGTGACATGAATGTGCTTCAGAGAAAGCCCAGAAGTAGCAGATGGACCTGGGACCTGCAGTGGCAGAGGAAATTGAACATAAAGGGGGCCATTACAGGATGAATTATGTCCCAAAAAATTCACAGCTTGAAGTTCTATCCCCCAGGTCCTCAGAATGTGACTGTATTTGAAGACAGGGCTTTTAAGGAGGTAATTAAGTTAAAATGAAGTCATTAGGGTGGGCCTTAATCCAATCTGACTGGTGTCCTTATAAGAAGAGGAG